ACTTTGTCGACCTTTGGCGACCTCTGGACCCTCTGGTCTGTTTACCCCGTTATCGGAATATTTGCACACGTGTGCGCGACTTTTAATTAACCAAAGTCAACAGCCCCAGTGAAACGTGTATATACATATCTGTCAACTGCTTTGCCGTTCTATATACTTAACTTAATTTCAAACTTGAGTTTTTGACTTTCTGACAACATCCGGAATAGCTTAACTAAATAATAATATGTGGACATTTCATCAGCTCTCTCGCCACAGATTATGATCTTTACTTAGCTAAAACCAAAATATTGACATGACTCAAAGCAGACAATGAAAGTGCTTTAGAGTGGTGCAAAATCCAACCACCCAGCCGACAGCGAACAGCAGCTCGATAAACCACAATGCGCATACGCCCCATTGGACGGCCAAGTTGGGCAGACTTTGTGGTGGGCACCGCACCTGTTGGCCCTGTGAACGATATTTATATAAGCATATATGTGTACTATATCTATTTATTGCATTGTGCACTTGGCAACCAAGCCACAATTTTCTTGTAATTGTTCGAGCGAGTGGGGCATGAAATCTCACAGGTTTTTCGCCCAACTATTTTTAATTGGTCGCACAATTTAAAATTCTAATGTTAATTTATGATTGAAAGTCGCCAGCTAGCCAGGCAGCCGGCTAACCAGGCCCTTCTATAGTTAAGTCCAGGTGCGGTGTCTGGGCCAGGTGTCGCTTATGGACCAAGTTGTTGAACTGATTAGCACAGCAGCCGCAGCCGCAGCCGCAGCACCTGTTTTTTGCTGATTTGCTTTTATGCAATTAGCTATAGCCCGATCCGATTCAATGGCCAATCGGTGCTGTAATAACTTTTAATTATGGACCTAATCGGCACAATAATGTTCTGGAACTTACTTTGCATGATAGCAGCACCTTTAAGGCATCTGTTCCGAAGGTCAGCCGGAGGAGCTGGTGTTGAACTTGCAAATGTTTTTGCATGTGTGCCTAAAGAGGTTCAAATTATTCAAATATATTGCTGGCGCATGAAGATACCCTGTAATTAGAGATGAATTATTATGCAATGAATATATGAATGTTGTGCTTAAAGCTAAGTTGAGCTTGGGTTGGGGAGAAGGTAAGAGTGAGAGTATGTGAGAGAGAGAGAGAGAAAGAGAGAGAGATAGAGAGAGAGAGAGAGAGAGAGACAGAGAGTATGAGAAAGTGAGAGAGTCAGAAAAACAGAGTGAGTGGGAGGGAGAGAGTAAGAAAGATACAGAGAGTGGGACGGAGTGAAAGAGGGAGCCAGATAAATAAGGGAGATAAGAAAGAAATCCTTGCCTACTCACTCTCTCTCTTTCTCTCTCTCTCTCTCCTTGATCGCTTGTTGAATGGTTTTCTATAAGCTATACACAAAACTGCCTCTGTTCTAGTTCACAGAGTATACAAACGACTTGGATTGTAAATGCCTTTAGAGGTGATAAATTGCTTAGATGCTTCCCCTTGGTCTTCGGCGGCTAAGCTTGCAAATCAACGAATGGCCGCACACGCCCAACGTCGATAAAACCAGCTCCACACCCTCTCAACAGCTGTCCAGATGTAACCAGTTTGTGTACTAATTAGAATTAGAGCCATGGCAATTATATTTGCTGATCATTTAAATTAGAATTTGCAACAGGTGCGACGTCAAATGGCTGCCTAACGGTTTGACCGCAACGCTCCGCCCCGCTAAATATATATAGACATTTATATATTGTAGTTATCTGTACACACATATATATATAGATATAGTTATGTATATATATATATTGGACACACAGCTGGCAGTATGTCTTTTTTCTTATTCTGAAAAGTTCAAGACAAGTCCAAGATTAAATAGCTTAAAAAATTAAACGAAAAAAGCCAACAGCAGCAGCAGCAGACCTCGCGAATAATTGGCCCGAATTGGCGGCCACAATGCCAAGCGAATTGGCCAAGCGCAATGTGTAAGTCATTGACTTTGATATTCAATTAGACAAACACCGAATACAAACACATAAACACACACACACACACACAAAATACTAAACACTAAATACCAAATGGCTAGCAAATGTTCTAGTTTGCGCTACTGTCAAAGCCAGAGTCGGCCCGCCTCAACCTTGACTGGACTTTATGCGCCTTTAATTAGCCAAATTTCAAATTTCAAATTTGAATTTGAATTTGAAATTGCAATTGAAATGGAAACGTGTTCCACAGACTGGTGTCTTTTACAGCGCGCTCTTAACGCGAATTTTATAAGTTTTAAACAATTAATCAAAACGTGTGTGTGTGTGTGTGTTTGTGTTTGCTTGTTTAATTGCAAAGTGCATTCGGCTTCCGGCAATTAGATAGGCAATTCGCAGCGGTTCAACAAACTTCTTGTCCCAGAGCGTTTCCTGCAACCCTAACCCAAATAGTCACTGACTTGACGTACCTCTTCGCAGCTCACCATTGACCAGCTGGTCGTGGGCACGTAGACCACACTATGCGCCTCAATAGCCCCCAACAATTCACGCTGTCTGCTCATATAACTCTGATTGACCCACATCCGATTCGGCCGATCGCCATGTAAATAGAACTTCACACTGAAGTGTTCGATAAATGTGTTTAACCTTAGCTGTAATACGAATCAATTTTTTTTGTTTTTTTTTGTTTTTCGTTCAATTTAAAGTCATAAAAGCCCGTCATTAAAATTGGAAACTAAATGCACGCTTTTAGAGCTTATTAGCTGTCGTTCAGTTGCAGTTGCAGTTGCAGTTGTAGTTCCCACGTCGACAGTTCGTACTACATTGTCATAGATTTATCAAAATTAAATCTTGAGAATATAAAAAATATATATGAACATTTTTCAGACAATATGATAAATGTTAAATATACCCCGCAATATTGTGCAGTATTGAGCAGTTGATTATGATTGATCAAATGCATGCAACATCACGAGAGGGGAGGGAATATATAATATATGTATATACCCTAGAATAAAGCTTAGGAATATACCCTGTAATCATGACACCTTGTTATATATAAACTTCCCACATTCCATTTTTATTTACCCTATTATCATCTGCATTTAGCTATATTCATTCCACTTTGCTATACTCCCTTATTTAGCTTCTAGCTAACCTACCCACTTCCCTTAGGCTGGGTATCTTTCAGGTCTGGCATTCTTTGCTATCACACGCTATTATGTATTATTCTATTTTAAGCATTAGAACGGCAGCTGGCACGTTTCTATTAGTATTACCCGGACCCGGTTTTATCGTCTTATCGCCCACATCCGATCAGCTTATTCAGCTGCTGGCCGGGCAATTAACACATTTCGATTTCTATTCACTCAGTCAATTATCATAACGCTTGAGTTTCTGTTGTAATTGCCATGCGATAAATCTGCGACACACGCTGAGGTAGGTCATGTTAACAATCAGCTGACATTTTCACAAAAGAAGTTAGCAAAAGGAGACAAATACAAAGCAAACTTATTATTAAAAATATTTATGATTGTCCATTGATAAAGACTATTAAATTTTGTATGTGTTCCAATGCTATGATTGACTTTCATATTTATGAATGCCTTAAAGCTTTGAAATAAGATTCCTCATTGGAGCCGGATATGTTTTTGTATGTTTATTAGCTCGACTCTATTTCTGGCAACCAGAACTCTGCTTATCCAGTTCATCATCCTCATTTTATTCTCTCTTGATCTTTATCCTCTTCTTATAAACTATTGATCTTCTGAAAGTCTTGTTATCCTCTCATCATCTTCTTGACATATTCTTTAATCCTCTTGTCATAATGTCATTCTCTTATGATCCATATCCTCCGAGATTCCTCACCATCTTGAAACCCGAATCTTATCGTAGTAATTAACCACATTTATTAGTTTCCGCGAATAAACTCTGCTTTATTAGAATAGATTGCTTGCAGTTGTATAGCACACATATAGTTTCATATGTATTCATATAGGTATTATATATAGTATATTAATATATTTTTCTCCGGTATATATATAATTATTTGTTTTGCAGCCTGCTCAATAAGCATGGGGACCAACCCGCTGCCACTACATAAACATCTACATATAGTTGATTTAACTTCAGATATGATAATATAGTAACTGCCAATATGTAAATAGATATATCTTGGCTAATATTTAAATTCAACATTGATAGTTAATTGAATGTTAACGACAAACTTGTTGCTAGAATAACTATATGTGTATATAGTATTGCGTAACTTGATCCCAAAATGTTGGTACATATTATTTGAATAGACATAAATATATACTTTAGGTTTAAAAATCAACTACTAACAATTATTGTTGAGTTTTACTAAAATATTTGTTTACTCCTGGTCTTAAATTTTTTTTTCTTGATTTTTAAGTTTTTTATATATTCCCTAAACCGTTTACATTTATCGCAATCTCTTAAAGTTTTCAAAATAATAGTAGCTTTTTTTCATTCTCACACAATGTTCCCTAATCAGAATCAGACTTTAGATTATAATAAACAATAAAGCGAAAAGCTGAAAATCAAAGCTAAATTTTATAAAATAAAAAAAAAATAATAATAATAATAAAGAAATGTTTGTAAATTATTTTTCAATAGTATTTTTAAACTTTATTAATACACAAAACTTATGATAAGTAAAATAATAAACTCTACATACCTACAATACAATACATAATAGTCGTACAAATAATAATAATAGATAATAATAATAGTACACAATTGTAATATTGTTCTTTCCAGTTATTGTACAATGCAAGAAAAATCTTTTGCTATTTCTTCAACTAACATTTGCTCTAAGTATTCACTCATTTTTTGTAATATTTTTCAATGTTTTTGTTTTTTGTTTTTGTTTTTTTGTTTTTAGAATACGTATGCAGTTATTGCAAGAATATTGTATATATATGTATATAGAATGCTAAGGGCTTTAGCTATCTGATATCTATATATAAATATTATGTTTGGATAGATTTAAACGCGTTCACATATCTCTGTATTTCAAGTAAATAATTATATGAAAAAAATAATACGAAAAAAACAATATGTGGACTGAGTATAATCTGTGTGGATGTGCATGTGTGCGTGTGCGTGTGCGTGTGCATGTGGGTGGGTGTGGCATCTTAAAAGTCTAACGATTTTTTGGTCCAATAATATTTAGTTGGGATAATAAATATGCAATGCACAAAGTGGAGGTGGAAGGTGAACTTGGGAAAATAAGCCAAAAGGAAAACTGAAAATATTCATCTAAAACGCTTTTCACATCAGCATTATTTTCCAGGGTAATACATGCGTAATTGTGCGCGTGAGTGTGTGTGTATGGTGGTATGTCAATTTAAAATTAATTTGTATAAAATGAGACCGTTGCACCTGTATATGCTTGGGAGGGATTGCTGTGGTTCGCTGTTATTGTGAATGGGGCTTCGTAGAGTCTTCGCTCTAGAATGGACGCCGCAGCTTGTGAATGGCATTGGTCAAGTGCAGAATCTCCGTATTCATTTGATGGACCAATGTGTCCAGCTTGTCAACGGAGTCCAAGATCTCGACGCGCTCGGTGTGTGGATTGAAGCGCACCTCGAACGGACGCGACATGGTGCTGACCCAGCGACGGAACTTATCCTTGGCATCCTCGAAACTCTCGGCCACATAGTAGATGGGCTGATATTCCTGATCCTGGTACGGCTGCACAGCTGTGGCTGCCGGCTCGAATGGGCGATGCTCGCACTTGTCGCTAATGGCGTGCAACAGCTCACCGTAGGCGCTCAGCAGACCGGCGCCGTAGGCCTTGACCTGGCCGTGTTCCTTGCAGAGACCGAACTCAACAGTGAACCAGTAGACCTGCACAAAGAGTGTAAGAATAATGCACACGATTATAGACACCTGTCGCATAAAGTGCCAGCTCATGCACTCGACTGGAGGTCAACGAAGGCCATTAATTGCCAGCCAAATGAGCAGCGCAATTGAGTTAAGTGGATGTCAGGGCAGGAACAGTGGCAGGGGCAGGGGCAGGGGCAGAGGCAGGGTCAGTTTAGTTGCTTACCGTGGAGAGCTTCTCGATTTCTTCATCAGAGGCGCCCAGCGAGGCCAAGCCAATCTCCTGCGAGAACTGGGCAAAGCTGGGATCGGCCAGCAGCGGCATGTGACCCAACAGCTCGTGAATGGTATCGCTGAAAGGGAGAGAAGGAGAAGGGAAAGAAAACAATTAGCCATTATATAATAGGGCTTAAAGTGCTGGCTGCCTGGCACATTGTTAAACTAATTTGCGACACAATAAAAGTTGGTCGGAAACAAGGAGCAGCTGGCGGAAGCGGAAGCTGCTGCTGCTGCTGCTGCTGCTGCTGCTGCCGGCTGCCGCCTCAAAATGGCAGCCAAATGCAATTAGAGCGCGCACAAAAAGCTTTGCGTTTGAAGTTCAAATATACATATACACATAGACAGAGTTATATATACTTACGGCTCGGGCGTGTGGAAGGGCGAGTTGACGTGACGCACATACTGGGTGCTCTGGAAGATGCGGAAGGCCAGCGAGGCGAGGAAGTCACGGGCTGTTAGCAGACCGGCAGCCGGGCGCAGAGTGAAGCCAGTGTTCTTGCGCAGGAAATCGGACATTTCCTGCAGCTGGGGCAGACGATGATCGACAAAGATTTTCTCATCCTGCAGCATCTGGAAGGCGGCACGATACTCGGCGCAGGCATGCTTAGGCGCCAGATCCTGAACGGTGCGGAACACCGAGCGCCAGGTCTTGACCTCCACCTCGGTGTAGTTGATGTGAGGAATAGGATCGCCGTATTTGAAAGCGAACGCAATCTCGGCAATCTCCTTGCGGCGCTGGCGATAGACCTTGTCGGCGAAGCCGGGATGGTTCATGTCCAAATCGGGCTCATATTTGGTCATCAGATGGTTGCAGTTGTCCAGCTCGGAGGCGTGCTTGGGGAACCAGGGCGCCTTCACGCTGATATTGTTCTCGGCCATCAAGTTCATGCTGCTGAACGAGCCCGACTGGCGCAGCGAGCGGATCAGCTGCAGCAGATTGCCGCGCGTCATGTCCAGCTTGATGAGCACATCGTGGCCGACGCCCTCGATGCGCGATTGACGCGACTCCACATGCTGGACGGTGCCGTGGAATGTCTCGATGGCTTTGAGGATGCGACCCAGCGACGAGATGCCCTCCTTGAGGCGCACCACAAGGGCGGCGCTCTGGACAGCGGCCTCCGCCTCTGGCGACTCGGAGGCGGCATTAGCCAGAACAATCTCGTCCTCGGTGAGGCCATAATCTGCAATTGGAATAGGATTGGCAAAGGCAATCAGCAAAAGGCAAGCGGCTTTACAGTCACGTAAACGTATAAGTGTGCTACGTGTGGCTGCCACGCCCCACACTCCAGCCCCCTCCCTCGACCCACAATGGTTGCCATGCAAACGTATTGTCGTAAGTCGAGCGTAAAAAATGAAAAAGGGAAATGCGCCATTTACCCTGTTGAATCTAGCTGTGATTGTGCGTGTGTGTGTGTGTGAGTGTGTGTGTGTGAGTGCGCCTTTCAGACACCCACACAGTTACAATGGAGTCGTATATTCGCTGAGTGCTGGCACTTTATCATATTAAGCACTTAAGTTCATGTCAACCCGCTTTTACTGTACCACACTTACCGTTCTTTGGGGGCGCTTCATCATCGGCTGACTCCTGCTCAGCGCAATCTTCAACTGTTGCCTCAGTTTCAATGTCATTAACTAAATCAAATCGAAATAATACAAAAAAAAAATAATAATTGAAATAAGTAAATGAATAAAAATAATAAGAAATTATAAGTGTTGGGTGTGTGTGTGAGTGTGTGTGAGTGGGATAAGCACCTGCAACATATTCATCCTCCAGCGGCAGCTCCAAGTTGGGCTGCTCATCCTGCAGCTCAACATTTTGCTCGGCGGGCACATGCTCGCCCTTTGCCTGCTGAATGCACTCCTCAAGCGAGGCATCTATTGAACAAAACGAAAATGGAAAATAATGCAAAATAAATCAAAATAATCAAATAAATAACTAACTAAATAAAACAACAATTAAATTGAGAGGCAAATTAGGAGAACAATTGTAAATAAATGATAAAAGCTTTTACGATATAGATTAAAATTTATAATTTATAATTCTAAAATATTGCAATTTATAAACTTTTAATAAAATATTTTCTGTCCAAAGTTCTGTATATTTGTTTTATAATTTGACAAAAGCTTCTGTTATTAAATTCTAATTTTTTGTAATTTTTTTTTCAGGTTGTTCTTTAAGACTTGTCCTAAAAATCTAATTTTCTACATTTTTTTCTGAGCTCTAGAAAAGTCTAAAATATTTTATAAATTCAAATAGAATTTTTCACATTTAAAGAGAAGTCACGGCTGCTCAGTCTGTTTTATATATCCTCTCTAATATATATATCTACATTATCTCTATATATATATATATATATATATATATCATATTTACTTACCGTTCGCCTTGCTGCGTGCCTCCTCGAGCACCGTTTGTTTGTTCTGCTTGACCACGATGCTCTCGAAGCGAGCATCGTCCACAAGGCTGCGGCGACGGGATGGATACCCATTCTGCGAGCGAAACGAATGAAAATGACAGAGCTTAAGGATATGTGCCGGAAATTAGATTTATTTGCAGAGCGTACAACTTTATTTGAGTGCCAAGAGCAGAGCGTGCCATGCCCCCAAACGATTCAAGGGGGGGCGTTTAGTTGCGCAATCGGCGCTTGCATAAGCTATAAATTGGGGCGCGAGATTTTTAAGTCTTGTGTGAAAGTGAAAGATCGAATGAATGGTGGCCTTTTATGCCAGCTCTATTCTATTCCGAGTTGCAACAGGTGTCTATAGATGGGACAATGCGATATCATATATGATATACGACCTCAAAGCAGTTGCAGTTTTTTGGTTATTCACAGTTTCTCTTGCTGATGAAAGAGATGCGATCCATTGAATCATCTTTATTGATTTCATATTTTGGTTGTTTTTGTTTTTGTTTCTTCTTTTTTATTTTTTTATTTTGATTTTGTATACCTTTGCGACGGCGCAACAGCATAAACAACAACATAAATACTGAGGCTGGAGATCAACAATGAGGCGCGTCTGTGCTGCTGTGCGTAAGTGCAGCCGCTTTCACTCTCCAAGGGAGAGAGAGCGGGAGAGAGAGAGAGATGAAGGTGATGTTCACAAGTCTGTTTAAATTTGTTAAATAATAACTTTTGTCACTTGTCACTTATGTTTGCATTGTTGTTGAAAAAAAAAAATAACAACAGGATAGCTAAGCTGGCTGTGGTTGACAGTGGGTCAATCAATGCCGAAATGGGGAACCATAACAATAACAACAACAATAACAACAGCAACGAATGCTGTGAGGCGAGCATTTGAAAACCTTTTGAGTGTCACGTAGACCAAGCGATGTTAATTTTGATTTATTTTAATGGATTCAGCTACCCAATTGCTCTAACCAGGTCTTAATGGATATGATCTCTTGCCACTTACCTCAATACTGTAGGATTTCTTAATGGCGAACATTTCGCGATTCTTTTGAGCAGCTGCAACGGCCATCATTTTGTGTTTTGTGTTGTTGTTGTTGTTGGGTTTTTAATAAAGTTTAATGAAAATTTCTCAAAAATTTATGCAAAGTATAGCACTTTGAATACTATTTGGGATTTGTTGATTTTGTTTTTATTTTGTTTTGCAAATAAGCACTCGAAATTGATCACTTTCACTGCTTAATTGCCTGACGATTGCGCTCCTGGTACTGAACTCTGTTTGCGTCTAGAATTTAGCTAAACTGAAGAACTCTCCAATCACAGCACGTTGAACTTTTGCGTTGGCGTTTTTCCAGATCAATCGTTAATCCTTAACGCGTAACTCGACACTAGTTTGTGTGTTTTTCGTTATGGATAAAACTTGACGAGTTGTGTTGGGAATCCTTGTCTCAGCTAAGATTTTATTACAACAATACAGAGCAGCAAACTACTTGACCACACAGAGGGCTTGGCAAGTCTTTAGAGCGAATGTTAGCGAATCAATGCATGCCCCTGGTTCAGATGCCAGCGTTTAAATACCCGCAAATGCGCCGGCAGCGACGTCGACGTCGACGCAGCCAACGACAACGACGACCGAGACCGAGACCCGACGAGCAGCAGCGACTGGTTTTCGCATGACGCGGCTGTGACGTAGTTGCTGTTGTTGTTGCTTTTATTGCCATTGCTGCTGCTGTTGATGTTGTTGCTGTTGCTGTTGTTGTTGCTACTGCTGCTGCTGTTGCTGCTGCTACTGCTGCGATTGTGGGGTTTCCTCTCACCAAAGCACTTGGCAGTGGGTCGACAGCGTGCTGACTCGACCAAGTTCAAGTGCGCCAGCTAGAACGGCGCTTGGCATTGCTGTTGTTGTTGCTACTGCTGCTGCTGTTGTTGTTGCTGGGTTTAGACACAAGCGCGTGCGCAGCGACAACAAAAAATTATATATGTAGATACATACATAAAATATTTGGAATTGTCGCGGTCTCAGCGCGTCATTAAAAAAGCCTAAACAAGTCATAAAAAACTATCAAAGGCAAACAAAAACCCAAACAGCCAACATTGCGCATACGCCGCGTGTGACAACCCCTAAACTACATTTTTACATAGAGACTGACAGATCCAAGTTATTTGCAATGTATATGTTTTGCAGGCGGATATTATTTTAATATATATTTATATATCAATATAGATATATGTATGTATATATGTATATGTTTGTGCACAAGAAGTAATTGGAAAGCGGAGCAGGAACCAGATGTGTCATTAGAAGGTGGGTAAAGCCTACAGAGTATAAACATTGTTGATTACATGTGAATGGGCGATACACTGACTAGCTAATACGGCTAGACTAGTTGAAAATGTGAACAGTTTTGTAATGAAATTATGTAGAAATGTGACTCAAGATGGAGAAAAGAAAGATAGCGATAGTAAATGCATATTAAACAAAGTTTTTCCCTCATTATTTAAGGAATTTTGAATTTTTCAACTATACATATTATAACATTATACACCTCCAAATAGTTAAGATTTGTAGTTCTTTTAGTAGATTTTTGACTATATTTTTATTTTTGATTATAGTTCTCTATCTCCACTCACCCTACTCTATTGCAATAGTATGCACCTTCTCTATACTATACAACGTGATATTTAATATACCCTATGGATAATATACCCTATAATAATCAAGCTTTTATAATAGACCATAAGGTACTGAAATGTAATAAACGTATATCACTCTAAATATCTCATTATCGAGATGGCTATCAATTGTTAATGAACTTTTTCGAAAGCATATGGCAAATGCAAATGAGAGTCTATGTGATACGAATTTCCTAACCTTAAGTTTACTTTAAGCAATTAATTAATTATCATTCCTAAGCACAAATGGCATATGCCCGTTTGTCTACACTACGCCATACAGTTTATTATTATGAAAGCACATTAAATCCAATTTGCATGCGTAAATGTAACACATTAAACTAATCTTAACTGGGCATAAACAAATGGCGTCAAAACATCTGGCAAATTGTTGTGAGATTTGCATTCCATATGCAGCTGACAGACTGCGACTAACTAGCTAATTCCTGTAAGCTGATAACACACACACATACACACACACACATCTTAATACATACACAGAGAGATCAAGTACTACTGGTGCTGATGTCGAGACGAGGCTGGCGCCTAATTGGATGCTGGTCTTAGATCATTTGAATGACATTTCAGTTGAAGTTTGAGACTCGCATTTAACCAAATTCAGAGTAAGTCACACGTTTTGTCATTGATCTACATTCGGAGCTGCTGCTGCAGCTAGCAAATGCCGTCATCCTTGCAACAAAAAAACAAAAAACTAGAACCGATCTAAACACTAGAGAACCGATAAATATGAGATAGCTAATGAGCTGCTTACTCATATCAACTTATTAAGATCCCAAAATGAGCTGCGATTTGCCAGAGCTAATTGTAGACCAATTTTTCGTTTTAATAACACCATGACTAACAGTAGCCGAGAAATCAGTTGGACAGGGCTGGGAAATTACAATCCCAGCAAAATAAAGAGAGAGATTAAGCAAAAGGGCGAACTTGTTAAATATCTAAACGGAATACTGACAACTGACAGCAATTTTGCATTATCACATTGCATAAGGTAATTATTAATCATTAGAGCTAACTAGCAATGAGATAATCAACACGTTATGCAATCCAAGTAATAATTAATAAATTGGTTAGAATTATAGCCAAAAGCTGGCATACGAAATAATGTACTATATGTATAATAAAGAAGATTAAATACACTTTGTATACAACAGCTCTAGCAGCTGGGTCTAACTAACTAAGCAAACACTTTAGAGATATAAATTTACATTATTCATCTATGACAGCTATGTGATTTGGTGCAATGAGTTATGAATCTACACCTGCAGCAGAGTTTTTGGTAGTTAAGCTTTGAAGAAAGCGGAGTTCCAATAGATCGCATAGAAAGTTGTATGACAGCCCTGAGATACGAGTGATACACTCGAAGCAACTCTGATTTATATCGTAAATTAAGCAAAAATATGTAAGAGTACCAAGTTTTTGCGGCGAGTCTTAACAGAAATGAGTTTCCATAGGTCATATAAAAAATTGAGTGACGGCAGAGTGATACAATCTCTAAGGGACTCTGATTTATATCTCGAATCCAGTACCCGATCTTCAATAGATCATATGACAATTCAACGATTATTATTACAATTCTCATAGGAAGCAAAAAAGAAGCAACTGCATAAAGTTTTTTCGCAGTCTAACTTTCAAGGTAGCCAATATATATTAGATCATATAGAAAGTAAATTGACAGTAATATGAGACAATGATCTAGGTCAACCAGTTTGAAAACAGTAAATGGCATAAAAGAAGTAACCGTAGCAAGTTCTATCGATAAAGCTTCATAGGAAGCCGAGTTCAATGAGGTCACATAGAGCGTATATATAGTTCAATAGTTAGCTGTAATACCCTCTGTTAGGGCATGTAACATCTGTAATTCCTATTACAAATATTCGCAATACTTTGAAACTGTATTGCCCAGCATTTACCCACATATCATATCATATTTACCCGCTCTACGCTCTGTTTTTTTGTGTATATGTGTCAGCGCAGTTCTTGTGCCATTCACGGCTTTTAGTTCAACTTTTTTTCCGACTACGCTTTGTGTTTATTGCATAATTAAGGCACAAAACATTTAATTTAACTTTTATTTAATATTTAAATTTTTAATTGTGCACTGCGTTTGCTAAGCTCAATTCTAAAGTTATTAAATATATATAGTAGAAGAGAACAACAATAACAATAACAATTGCTCAAGGTTTTAAAAGTAACAAAATTGTTGAGCAACTAAAGGCGGAGCTAGAAACGGAGACGTAGACGGCGACGGCGACGGCGGCGGCGGGGAGGTGAAGACAGAGACGGGCACGGAACCAGAGCCGAAGCCGAAGCCGGAGACATAGACAGTGAGTCGATCGTGATTCACAGCTCGTAGGCAGAGCCATTCACTGGGATTTCCTTGTCCTTGGCCATGACCCTTTAACGGATGACTGGCCGCAGCTTCTAAGCTAACGCCCCACTATGGCACGGCACGGCACGGCACGGTCGGTCCGGCTATGCTCGGCCCGACCCGGCCCGGCCCGGCTTGATGCCGTACCCCTGCTGCTTCCCACCATGATCAACCAGTTTGTTTGTTTTATTGAAGTTTCATGATCATGAAACCCAAACAAGTGAAGTACAACTGTGCATATCTTAATCCCTCTCCACTCCCCCCATCCTCACTCTCGCTCTCTCTATCACTTGCCATCTCTGCTTTAATTGTCTTCCACAAACAAATTGAAACTCCTTTAAGAATTGAAGGTTGGTTACCTTAGCTCCGCTTTGCAATTTTTCACTTTTGTTACATAAGACGCATTTACTACCATTTAGTTTTTGTTTTTTGTTGCTTTTTTTTTTCTTTGGCTCATTCGTTTAATAATGATCAATCATCAAGATAAAAAAGAGTTTTGTTTGTTTCTTTTTTTTTTTTGGTAGGTAAATTAGGTTCTATAATTAAACATTTTCGGACTGAGGCGGCAAAAGTTGAAAACTACATTTAAATTTTTCTATAGGTATATCTATTTTATTTTTATTATTATTTTTATTTGGTTTTTATTCTAATCAAAAGGTACAATAAAACTATCTGTATACAGAAATGCTTGACGCAGTCACGTAATCCACATTTATTCTGTTTGACACGCCAACAAAAAGTTTATTCCAAATTTTTGATACACATGTAGTTTTATATTTATAGAGATAGAGTAGATCAATCATAGTTTGGCAGGTCTCATAATGAAAGTAGTTCCGTTTGGTTAAAGTTTTTGGCATTGAGAAAGCGTTTATTGCCTTAGAAAGGTATAGGTTATTGAATCCAGATGGATTTCAAGCAATTTGCAAATTATAAAAGACCTTCTTCAAGGTTTTTTCACTTTTAAATAAATAAATGATTGACAGTCTATCAGAATTTGAGTAATTATTGAACTATAATGAATCAGCGATCTGTCTCCATGGATAAATACCTCATGAAACGTCTAGGATAAAGTATAGATTATAGAATCTTCTTATAACAAATTTGGGATATTACATTACATTTTTAATGATAATTATTAATAATTTAAGTTTCATCATAGAAAAAAACCATAATTGATTGTATAATGTATAATTCTCTCAGATCCCTAGTGAACGCAGTTCTGCTAGCCTTGAGTCGAGTTCTCAAGTTCCTCTAGTTTTTACCCTTGTTTTAACTTCCTAGAATAATCTTTCGGTTTTTCTGTTGCGTTTTGTAAGCCATAGTCTTTTGTATGAATCAAAGATTATTCATAATTGAATAAGGTGCAATTAATAATACAATTAAAAAACGATTTGAAAAAACATTTTTACAATTTTTTGCCATTACATAGCGATTCGTTCTAATCGATCTGGCTCACAATTCAACAATTCTACAATTATGTGCATTAATTACA